GATACAGAGAAATGAACATTAAGTGAATTGATATCGATGTTACTAGGAAAAGACGTTTGACGAAGTTTACCAATTCCAAGTGATCTAAGGAAGTTCCACACTTTAGCAGGATCATTATTGCTGACAGATGCATGAATATGACGACGTAAAGCATCCCTACACACCATGTTACAGTGATTGCGAGCCTTTGCATAGTTGTTTTTATTAGAGTCTGTCGGACGAATTTAATATTTACTCTTGGCCACATTCTTCTTGTGCATCAATTCTTTTATCTCTGGTGTGAGCCAAGGTGCTGGATGGTGCTTAAGCTTAATAGGACGAAACGGTGCATGTTTATCATAAAGCTTGGTTATAATATTGTTGAAAGTATGCACTTGTTCGTCCAATGTAGCCGCGCTAGTCATTAACGACCAGTCGACATCATGCAGGTCTTTGAGTAATGCCTCCTGATCCATACCACCAAATTCTGCTGAAGAATGACTTTCGGTTTGGGCTTAGGAGGACGAATCTTATACGATAAGAAAATCAAGTCATCGTATGAGAATGCATCTGCCGCACATTGACCGTGTTTCATAGCACGTTGAGGAGAAGACACTATTAATAAGTTGATGATGATGATGTTGGTGATGACAAAAAAAGTGGTATTTGATAGAGGAACAAAGATTATCCATTAATTTGAAATGCGCGCGCAAACAGACGGACAGCTGACATTTGCTACCTGTTTGTACACATTTGTATACATTTCAATAAACAAAACAACAATCTACTTACGACGAACTCCGAAGCATAATTTGTGTATTCATTTTGACGACCTCCGTGGCTGAGTGGTTTGTACGCTGGGTTTCATGGTATCGCCGACTCGAGAGGTCCCTCCTGGGTTCAAATCCCGGTAGGGGGAGATGATTGGGTGATAAATACGAGCATTTGTACTCCAGTAATGGATGTTTAATATGTTTTTCTATATAAATACATGTACAGTATATGTATTCTAGCCGTGTTACAATAGCATCCCATACCACAAGCCCTATAGTGCTTACTTTGTTATTGTTGTATAGCGCATACAGAGTAATGGTTACCAGGCACATTTTCCATCTAGACACAAACTAAGACACCAGAGACACAGAGTAGACAGACAACCTGTTTATTTGCCATTAGTCAAAGGAGTGACTGACAAGATCTCAAACATACTGAATAAGTACTTACTAAACAGTGTCTTCACTCCTGTGCGAAAGGTTTCACAATACCTACGGTCTCCTAAAGACAACTTCCCCTTGGAGAAACCTGGTGTCTATAAGATCGATTACAGCTGTGGCAGTTCGTACATTGGCCAAACAAAGCGAACAGTATCATGCCGAACACATAAAAGCAATCAAGAACAACGATACGCAAAAATCAGCCATCGCGGAACATTTGATTGATTCTGGTCCTAACCACTGGATTGAGTTTCATAACCCACAGATTATCTCGACAGAACGCCACTACATACCAAGATTGGTCAGGGAAGCGATTGAAATAACAAAACATAAAAATTTCAATCGTGAGGACGGGTTTAAATTGTCGAGGGTCTGGAATCCTGTGGTTCGTATGTGTAAAACCGGAAATAATCAAAAAAGTGTCGTGTCGCGATCCGATACTTTAAGTGTTGTGTGTCGAGAACAGTTTCGAGTGAATAGTGAGAATGTGAACAGTGGTACGGGTATCGAACGCAATTTAAGACTTCGTCGGAGGGTAGACCGATATGTCTGCCAATAAACAGCCTACCCGCAATTACTTCAGTTACTCCGTGATCATGGCGCTTGCAATAGTGCCGAAATATCGGAATCTCACTAAAAACACGGTACATGGTAACAATACCGTAAATAACTTATATTACTATAATTTTCAAAAAAGTTAGGGTTCCGTATGAAAGCTTCGATAATGTAACCCAATGTGTAAAAAAAATACCAAAAACAACGCTATATCGCGTACGCTACGGAATTCATTGACAATGGAGCAAAGTGATGTAGAATATAGAGAACATCTATATCTTCAAAAAATCTCCGCGATACTATATGTATAGTGTGGGTGGAGGGATTTTTTTATTTTTTCGTTTTACAATGGCATACCCGCAAAAAACTGCGTGATAGGTACAATAAGCAAATGCATTAATATTTTGTGTACATTTGAAGGTAAATTAATTCATTAAATCCGTTAGGACATAACTTATCAATGTTCGGTACTGTAAAATCGAAAGCTAAACTTTACATAAATCATAGAAATAGTTCTTATTTTGTCTTTGGACGCACCCAATCATTAAATAACTGTCAAATGTGACAGTTACTGAGTCAAACTTCAGTCACGAGTAAGCGTTCTCGGGGGAAAGTAGACTTTGTTTTATTATATTTAGTGACCGTGTGATTTAAGAAATCCGGTTTATAATATTTGTTTATAATATTTATTGTCATTATTATTTACAGTATTATTATAAGGGTAAAACTGTACTTCCAGGGCCCAAGAATTTACACTTCACTATTTTTCGATGAAAAGGTCTTTGTTAATGAAGTGTCCATGCAAGTCTCAATACCAGGGCGCTGATAGTTTTTGAAAAAAATTAAATAGTAAAAATTATTGCTTTTCTCTAATAACATAACACCATTTTGACAAATTACATTGTATTTATTATATTCCTTTTTTTGTGATAAGGCAAAAGAAACAAAGTGTATACAGCCTTATTTTTTATTTTCATGTCAGGATTACCATACAGCTATCGAGAATGTCTTTGACGGCCAACAATTTTCAGTTATTAGAAAGAAAAGAGAAAGGGGGAAAATATGGGTCTTTAAATAATTTTACCAATTTTTTTTTATTATACACTCGACTTCCGCATCATCTCCGGCGCTGCGGGATTAGCAGCCCCTCCGCCCTTGCGTAACAAAGAAAGGCTCACACACAGGCACTCACGCTTCCGCGAGTGCCTGTGGCTTTGTTACAGCGGGCGGGGGCTGCTCCCCCTCCGCGCCTCCGGGCTCTGGAAAACACTCTAGGGGTAGGGCAGACCAAGACCACGGCGCTTCGGAGTTGACAAAGTCGGTTCTGAATTCAAGTTAATTTATATTACCTTAAAGTAAGAGATAGAAAGTAGGTAAATACAAAAACATATATTTACTAGTTACTGTCATTATTATTTACACTATTATTATTGACACTACTGTTATTTACATTATTATTATATACATGATTTATTGCTTTTAGAAGCTCCTCAAATGAATCTCGTTGATGTATCCTTATGTTGCGCCTCCAAATGTATTCCGCCAGCCAATCTGTGAAATTTGATTTGTTTTGCTGCTGACGAAATACTTTTTTCAGTCCGCGCCATTGGCTCTCAATTCGTTGAGTGTGAGTCCCATCTGGTGCAACAAATCTTTTTACAGGATCGCTGTGGTTTACCATTTTATGAACATAGCCATGTTCAGAAAGGCATTGATATGCTCTCCAAAAGTCCGTGTGGATAATAGAGCCCTCCTGAACATGTTTTTTGATAAGAGGCACCAGGACATCAGCAGATCGTTCATTATGAGGACAAAGCTCTAATCGCAAGTCTTCACTTCCATCCTCGACCATGCCAATTACCTTCTATATGTCGGCCTCTGTTGTATTTTCTACGGCCAAATTTTGACTCGTCTATTTGTACAATTTTATTTGGTCCTCCTATTTTTGAGTCATGCGTCATATTTTCTATGACATAAATAACTATTGTCTCCCGGCAGTAACTATACCAATCAGCGATGGTTTTGAAAGACAATATTGGTCCATCGTCATTGGATAATTCTTTTTGCGCCCATGCATAAGACTGACCATCGCTAAATGCATACATCAGTTGAAAAATTGTTGGGAATGGTAAATGTACGTTTTCGAACCAGGTTCCAGTGGTTCTGGCATAGTTCTTACTTCGGCAATTCCCTTTTCGACATCTAAATCGTCCGAAATGACCAGAAACCTTTTCAAATGTCATAAGCCTATGGTGGTGTGTACATTGCTTTTCTTTTGGAACCATTCCCCTATCTTCAGCAAATTGTATGCATTGCTCGGTAGTGCCCTGGGCAAAAATTTTTTGGCATACCCGCATATATTGCCCGCATAAAAATTTTTTTCCATGTCATTTTTTGGCATACCCGCATAACCCGCATATATTGCCCGCATAAAAATTTTTTTCCATGTCCACATAGCTCTAAAACAAATATTTTTTATATATAAAAATTGGGGGGTAGTTTGTTTGTTATACAAGTTACAAACTAAGTTCTAACTTACAAAAACTACTACTACCAAATTCTGTGTTATTCTTTAAAATCGTTACTAACCTGATTTCATCTGTATAGTTAATGTACTCTTCTCCCAGATGATCCTGAGGGAACCGGCTGAATTAACACCTCCTCACCATCATCAACAGCTGGCATGACTAAGTTAGCCATGCTCCTGGCTGATGTATATGGTTCTATAGAAGAGCCCATAGCTTGCGGTTCATTTGAATTGGAAGAATCCATTTTCAAGTTTCAAAAACAAATACTTGCAACAAAACAATTTGTAAGCAGCGACAGAAAAATTTCTTAAAAATGGCGCCAATAATTTATCGAGTTTTGTTTTTTTTCTAGGTGTGACTTTTTCCGTTATCTCCAAATTTGTCACAACAGAAATGTTGTTTTTTATTTTTTTGAAATAAATGTCAATTTCATGCTTAAGTCAAAATCAAAATTTAGTGGTTTGTTTATAGAAATGTCAATAATCACAATGGATAAACCATTCATTAGGTTCCATGGGTTGGGTTTACAAATAAGCTTCCTCGTTCTGGGAAAACTGACGCCGTGGGGGGATATACGACACACTCGTCAAAACTGCATTTTCATCAAGCGATGCAAAATTCTTATTTTTACTGTCTACTCGTCAAGTTCATGTTTCTGCATACTCGTCATAGCTGCGCATTGGTCAAGTTCTTATTTCTGCATACTCGTCAAAGCTGCACATTAGTCAAAGCTTTGTAAATCGATGATTCCATAAATAAAAGTAAAACAATAATAGCATAACATGTTTATTAAAACCAAAACAAAATAAGACATCTGCTTAAACAACACATACGGAATTCTTTTTATCTTATAACGGAAAATTTAAAAAAAGAAACTGAGTAGTCCTCCTAACCTAAATTTAAACGTCTTAACATATTTAATCCCTTCCTCATTGAAACCTTTTCATTAACATTTTTTTTTTCTATATGTCCAATTCTAGTTTCTTTTAATAAATGTTTCCGGCGTCTGGCATTGCTTTGAAGCTGATGTATTTTTTTAAATACCCTGATGTTTTGAATTTTGGCCTCTTTATCTAGCATTTGTATAAAATGTAATAGTCCTGGTTTACGCTTAATCCTTTTATTTATGCGACTATGCCATCCTTCGGCAATATTATTAGTTTTATGCTTTTGTTTGTAACAGCATATTGTAGGTTTATTCGACGACAACCACTGCTTTGTAAAGTACTTAACAAAATTAACAGTAGCTTTACCTTCTGGTGCTTGATGCAATATAGTCATGAACCCTTCCGGAATATAAGTTTCCGGTAGATGCGGCAACTGATAACACAACTGTATAAATTTTTGATGTGAGACTTCATCTCTAACTACTTCGCTTTTTTTTATTGCGTTGGTGTAATGGAAGTAACAACCCGTTATTTTAGCACTTTGAAATACTGTTTGTATGGCATTGGCCATAGCCATTTCATAGTCTATTTTAAAACTATGAGGATTAAAATTTGGGAAATGTTTTTTTATTAGATATAATAATCTTGTGTAAGTTTCTTGACACTTGTCGGGTAACAATTTATAAACCATTGGAAATACGTTACATGTATCGACACTACCACCCAACTCTGCATGAAACGTGTATAATTGTCTAAATGGTTGCGGCACTATTTTGAAGTTTCCATCGCCGTACACACATTTTGCTTTCTCAAAAACACATTTACCTTCTGTTGCAATAAAGATTAATATTCGCTTGCTTTGTCCGTCATTATCATCATCACATATTAAATTATTTTTCAGTGCTTTAGGTAATGTAATATCTTCCAAACGACTGAATCTATTTGTGAGTAAATTATTGTGTTTATGTCTTAACTTGTGAAGATGTGATTCAACAGTTTTAAATTCTGGAACATTTTGAATAAAATTCGTACCTCTGTCTAATAAGGGTCCCATGCATTCTTCATATATATTTGTTCCACAGGACCAAATTCAGTTTTCACTCGGTCTTTGCATTTGTCCATAATAATGAGGGTTTCATTATAATTTGAACTTGAATTACACTGATGATCTGTACTTCGGAGCACAGAAATTTTATCAATATCCAAAGTTACGGATCCTTTACACAAACCACGTCTAACACACCTCCGTTTGTAGTATCTCGTTTATTTTTAATATTTAAATTAAATCTGTAGCCGTTAAACAACCGTATATCTAAGCAGTATATCCCTGTTTCGTTCACTTTTTATAAAGTTCACTATATTACTAACTTCCATTTAGGAAGAAAATCTATCTAAAGCAGCGTCTAGTTAAATTGCAATTAATAACGTCTAATATGTATGTGTATGATTAATAATATTTACATATTTTCCGGTAACCTAGGTAAATATTTATTTTTTTAAGCATTTAACTGCTAGATGTTTAAATCTAAAGAAAAGTTTACTAGAAAAAAATCCACGCGGACCAGGCAGCGGACGGGACTCGAACCCGCACCCTTCGCAATCCGGACGAATGCACTGACCATTATGCTACCACGGCCCTATTCGCCGCGTCGAAATTTTCCTAGCCTTAAGCTGCAAGGCAGCGCCATCTCTTCGCATTGTAGGTAACCCACAATCAGGAATATTGATAAATATTGATATATTAATTATTTATAACATGAAATACGACACATTCATACGTACTATTCATTCTAAGTGGCCAGTAAATCTGAAACGGGCGAATTTAAATCAAAGATATTTTAACCAAGTTAGGTTTATTTTAACTACGTATATTCGTCGATTTACAAAGCTTTAACTAATGTGCAGCTTTGACGAGTATGCAGAAATAAGAACTTGACCAATGTGCAGCCATGACGAGTATGGAGAAACATGAACTTGACGAGTAGACAGTAAAAATAACAATTTTGCATCGCTTGACGAAAATGCAGTTTTAACGAGTGTGTCGTATATCCGTGGGGGGAGGGGGGGCCCGGGGGGTTTTACTGAAATTCCTGACATCGATTTTAGTTGCCGGATAGGTACCACGTATTTTTTTTTTTCATTTTTGAATGAAACGAAATACATGTAGTGAGAAGAAAAGTAAAATGACACGCAAAAAGTAATAGAAACAACGTGAAACGAAATGTTTCGGTTTTCATGAATGATCTCTGCTTCCTTTTGTGTAATTTCGACCCTTTTTACTGACCTTGGAGCGCCCCCCGGACTGATTGGATTATGACTCGATTATGACGAATTAGGACACTGAACGTTTTTGATATGGCTTTGATGTCTAGAATCCCGGACCCACAACCTGGGCCGTAGCTGCGTAGGTGAGAATGGAGTGCCTACGGTTTGTTACACAAGGGCGGAGGGGCTGCATTTCCCGCAGCGTCGGAGACGTTCGGCAGCTTTTAGTTGGCCTTAATCCTGTAGGTCACTTAATAGGTTAGATTTTATAAAAAAATCAAGTAAAAAAGCTTTTGTTGCGTTTGTGCGCTCTCCACTAAGCCCTAACCTAATATGTCATCTCTCTCTTGCTTTTTATGCATATTTTATATTGAGGTTATGTTTACTATTTTTTTTCCTGAAATAACTACGAATCTCCGGCAGACGGGGGTTAAATAAGGGAGCTCCCTAACCCCCTTCCCACCCTCCGCAAACCCCTAACGAGGAAGCGTATTTCTAAACTTTTACCGGTTCCATTTTTGTTGTGTACAGTAAAAATTACTCAAGTTGCGACTCGTCAAAGGACAAAATGTCTCGTGTTTGGCGACCCCGAAAAATTATCCTTTCTCAATTACCGACTTACTTTATATTATGAAATACTATATTTTGTTGAAGCATGAGTTGAAGCCGGAAAAATCATCTAAGGAACCGACTGTTCAAGAAATCTCAGAAAGAGTTGCGACTTGTGTCTTAGAAATATGGCATAAATCCTCGCTTTAAACTGTTAGTTTAGCCATGCTTGCAGATGACAACAAAGTGATAAGGCAACTGACCTGCCAACGTCTTCTGAAAGGAAGGTCAAAGAAGGTCACAGGAATCTCAAAATTCAAAGTTCCATCATTTAATTTTTTATGCTTCTCATTATACAGATATCATTGTTTGGCATTATAATCAAATTACTGTTACCGAGCCACCTATTACTAAAAGTTTATCTACTGAAGCTTTAAAAGAAAATGTAGAAAATTGTCTTAGAACGAAAAATAATATAGCACTCTTTCCCTGTCAAACCGTGGAGCGTTGCATCAAGCTCGTAACTGAAGCTTCAGGTGCTGTTTGTGGAGAGGAAAAACGTGATGGTTTTATCAGGGCCAGACTGTCATCACGTCAGATGATGCCTTTTTATAATACCAAACGTGATTCTTCTAAAAAAAAATATCTCCATACCATTCCACTCCACCAATAGGGTCTAACTATTACAGGTATGTCACAACTAAAGGTCCTGTGTGATTTCACCCGCGTAAATTTGAGGAAAAAGGTTATAGTGAGTCAAACATAAAAGATGGACATATGCTTACGCGGACGTTTTGTAGAACTTTTAAAGGTAAAAACAATTCCGTAATATATGATTTTTGTGTAACTTTAACCGTTTACCTAGCACATGCCACGGAAGCTCACAAATGGAGTATTTTTACCAGTTTTTGTAACACTTTTTAACATTCCTCCGATCCTACTGCTCCTAGCGTGATGTTATAAAGGTACTCGTAACATAAAAAAAAAACAAATCGGACCAGTATTTTAGGAGATTAGCGCGATCAACCAAAAAACAAAGAAACAAACTCTCCAGCTTTATGATATTAGTAAGTTCTTACGTCTAATTTTCACTGAAGGTTTATAATTATATGAAGAGTCATTTTAGTCTACACTACAGCTCTACACCGAAGCGAAGCGAGGACGGGCCACTAGTACTATCATATATCGTAATTCTTTAAAAACACATCTTTCGGAGTAATATATTTTTATATCTTTGGTTTGTTTCCAAGATTTTATGTTTTATATAGGAGAAAAGAAACATAGGTAAATTTTTATTTGAATTGTTTTATAGGTAATTAGATTGATACAATGTTTATGTTCAATTCAGTTTAGTTATCAATTATCATCTCAACTTAATAATTATTACCGACATTATAATCTCTTTTTTCTTCTGATTCTTCGCTTTTTTCCTCATTGTTTTGGCTACTTAATTTTTTTTCAACTTTTAACGGTATATTTTAATTTTCGTATAAAATAACGCATAAACATGAAATTTCTGGGACTGGTAACTCCTGGACTAACAGGGTTATGAGGGACTCTTTGCACGGTTAGCCACCGTTCGATGTAACGATGTGAGATCTTGATTCATCTCAGTGACGAACAAAAATCATTTTAATATTTTGATCATTTAAGGGAAGTAGAGCACAGCGGCAGAAGACAGATAACTTTAAACAAAACCTTCAAAACCAAGGTGCTAATTAAGATAAGATTAAGAAGCTTCAAATATATATATGTTTCCTACTAGGTGTGACTAAGTTATTGGACGCCAATAACACTATTAGTGTTGTGTTTCTAAAGTGATAAAGATCTGTAGACGTATTCAGCGCGCAATTGATACTCTGGTACTGATAGCATCTTTATGCCATGGTAGCTGTTGACCATAAAGCTGGAGACAGACCAGTGTACCACAAACCAAAAACTGATATGTAACGTTACTTTGTAATCATAGAGCAACGCGGCCGACGCGGCCAGGAGGGGAGTAGGCATTCGCAGCGTTTGTGGATTTTCCCCCGCTTGTGGGCCAGCTCAAAAACAAAACTAGTTGCGCGTCGGAATATTTCACTAGAATGAGTCAATTCGCGAGAGTGTCCGAAGAAAAAAAGGAAACAATACAAGCAGAAATTTCGGAAAGAATGGTTAGTAAAACCTGATTTTCGTGATTGGTTAAGAAATTAAATAAAACTACTTTTATTTAATGAGTGATGTGCGTGAAAACCTAAGAAACAAATATGGTTAAGAAATGATAAAAAGATGAATACAATGCGATATGTAATATGTACTATAACAAGAGATTGTCAGCTGAAATAAGCGTCCTCTAAGACATAAAGAAACAGTTTCGCATATCAATAATGCTAGAAAGTTTTTGTTCCTCCTCGAAAAGAACACAGCAGACGATTGTTAGTGATTTTCAAAGCAGTCAAACACCGACTGAAAAAGATCTAACCAAAATTTCAACCCTGAATCTAGCTGCTTTCATCACTAAATACAAAATTTCCTCAAATACTATAAACCATCTCACAGATTTATTACCACAATTATGTCCCGACTCTAAAATAGCTAAATGTTTAAAACTAAAAGCAACAAAAGTACAAGCAGTAACAATTGTATAGGAGCAACCGTAAAGCCAAAGTTTAATTAAGGATTCGAAAGTTCAAAAGTTCTCAATACTGATTGATGAAAGTACAGACATCAGTATCATAAAAACTGTAGCCATTGTAGTGAGAGATTTTGATAAAGAACAGGGTCAAGTAATGAGTCACTTCTGGGATTTAATCTAATTGTTTGAGACGAATACTACTGATCATTCAGCAAATGCTGAGTAAATATTCTCTTCGTCCATCGAATTACTCCAAAAGCATTACATTCCTTTG